ATGAGGAGGAGCCAAATGGGTGTGGAGAGGGCTCAGATGGATGGAGGCTGCCTATGTTAACTTTTGAGAAGGAGACAGTATACAGTGGCACCTCAGTTTTTGAGCCTCTCTGGTGATGAACATTTCGGTTTTTGAATGCCATAAAGCTGGAAGTAAATGCTTTGGTTTTCAAATGTGCCTCAGAAGTCGAACATGAAACGTGGCTTCCATATTGAGTTTTCCCTTTTGAGGCTTCCGTACTGAGTTTTCAGTTTTCAAACATTTCAGAACTCGGATGGTCTTCCAGAATGGATTATGTTCGAAAACCGAAGTACCACTGTATTAAAAGATTCTGCTGCAAGCTATCCAAAAGAAACCTAAAGTCATATTGAAAGATAATTTCTAGGAAAGTGAGATGCCTCTACAGTGGTACCTCGGGTTAAGTACTTAATTTGTTCTGGAGGTCTGTTCTTAACCTGAAACTGTTCTTAACCTGAAGCACCACTTTAGCTAATAGGGCCTCCTGCTGCCGCTGTGCCGCCGCCACATGATTTCTGTTCTCATCCTGAAGCAAAGTTCTTAACCCGAGGTAATATTTCTGGGTTAGCGGAGTCTGTAACCTGAAGCGTATGTAACCTGAAGCGTATCTAACTCAAGGTACCACTGTATTTGAAGTGGTATGAGGAGGATTCTTTGCAACCTCTCTTGTTTCAGCCCCAGCGCTGTCCCAAGACATATTGCTGCCTGACAGAAAGAAGAAGTGCCCCAGCCCTTCTGTTCAATGTACAGAGGCTGACTGGACTAGCAGCTGAATCTGGCAATGGGATGGTGTCCTCTGATGTATCTGAGGGTAATTTAGGGGTTGAATGACAAGCTTGTGGCACACATAGCTCTGATCTTGAATAGAGATCTCGAATAGAGGGTAAAGACTTTGAGGACATTCCTTCCCCAAAGCAAGGAATTGTGGGTGAGGCACCCCTTGATCAGAGGCAAACAATGGACTGTGGCTCACTATACCTCGATAAAATGGATGTGTATTTATTACTGAGAGTGACATCGAAACAAAGCTGGGTCAGTGAAATAGTACTTATGTAGTTTGGCTTTCATTGCTCAGCTCTATCAACAGAATATATTTAATATTTCATGGGTATATTTTCTACTCTGTTATCTCTATGTTTGTTACTTGCACCGCCTCAGACCATTTGTTTCTTCACTGGAAAAGCTCTATCAATTCAGAGTACTGTAAGTACACAGAAAAAAATCCTTTGTAAACATCATGATCTGGAGAATCTGCCATTTCTTTTTACATGGTTGAATGCATAATGCTTCCAAGTACACAGATCACATTTTAGATTTAGATCTCATTTACATAATACATAAGAATGCAGGAAATGTCCCAGAGGGCAAATAAACACTTTGAGCATAAAAATGGAAGAAGTCTTGGAAATCGTTCCTTTGTTGGTTTCTTTGGCTTTTTTTTTTAAAAAAAAGAAAAACCAGAGATAGTAATCGGAATTGTTCAACAATATCACTTTCCCTAGCATACTCTGAAGTGTTTTTTTCATTGTTTTTCTTTCATGAAAGCTGGAACAGATACAAAAACTGCTGGCTTAGTAGTGCCTTGAAGGATCTCTCCAACAGGTGAATTTTAATGAATTAGTTCTTTTAGCACCTTCTTTACTGTATAATCTATTGCTGCATGAAGATGGTAACATATGCCTCCATTACAGCTAGGCTGGACTATTCTATTCCATTACATTTGATTTGGGATTACTTGTGAAGAGTCTTCAAAGCTTCACTTGGTCCAGAATGCAGCATATCAGCGGTTGGTATTAGTGGGCACTTACCTATGGGATCACACTATAGCTATCTTGCAACAAATCCTGGCTGGATTTGTTTCCAGACATAAGTCACTCCCACATTAGTTAGTGATGGCCACCTACTTTGATGGCTTCAAAAGAAGGTTAGGCAAAGACATGGAGAATAAGGTTATCAATATCAATTAGCTATGATGGCTTTGTTCTACCTCCACTGTCTCTGTATGCCTCTGAATACCAGGTGCTAGAAACTGTAGGTTGGAAGAGTGCTGATGTACTCATTATCTGCTTGTGGGCTTTCCATGGCCATCTGGTTAGCTACTCTGAGTATAGAGTGTTGGACTAGATGGGCCTTTGGTCTGATCCCACAGGTCTCTTCGTAGTTGTTAGTAAATATCCTCCCCCCCCCCTTTTTACTGGCTAATAAAGACTTTGTTCTAGCAGGCTTTTGCCTTGCTGGGAAGATACTGTTTTTATTTAAAATTTATTTATTTATTAACTGTTCTGCCTGCCTCCATTGTATTTTCTTTATTATTGTGGCTTTAATTTGTGATTAAAACTTTTGTAAGTCAGCCTGAGTGACATGTGTTCATTGGAAAGCTAGGACAGAAGTTGTCTTATAAGAAATACATACCTACATTCATACAGTGGTACCTCGGGTTACATACGCTTCAGGATACATATGCTTCAGGTTACAGACTCCGCTAACCCAGAAATAGTGCTTCAGGTTAAGAACTTTGCTTCAGGATGAGAACAGAAATCGTGCTCCAGCGGCGCAGCAGCAACAGGAGGCCCCATTAGCTAAAATGGTACCTCAGGTTAAGAACAGTTTCAGGTTAAGTACAGACCTCCGGAAAGAATTAAGTACTTAACCTGAGGTACCACTGTACTTGATTGGCTATAACAGGATTGACATCTAATGCCCGAGGTTGGGTTACAGCAGAGCACAAAGATGGAGGCAACTCTGATTTCCATATCCTGGCAATCAGTTGCTTAACTGCAGATAAAAGGAATGCTAATTCCATTTTTTATCACCTAAGATCTGTTATGCATAAAAGAGGCATCTACTTTTATAATCCTTTCTAAAATAGCATTGCAGGAGAATTTTCATCAGATATGCACAAAAGTGCCTCATTCTCTCCACCTTCCCCAGGAAGACCCTAATCCTGTGTAGAAGTTCACTGTGCTCTGTGTGCTGGCCCCTCCTGAAACTGCATGCTCACCATTCTATAATTCTTGTGTTTGGGAGAACATGTGAAATAGGTTCTGCACCCATACAGCTGTAAACCCTTAAACTTGTGCAGCTCCACCAGACTTGCATAAAGGTTCCCTTTTCGCTACAGTCCTTATAATATAGGCCACTTATTGATTTACATGTTCGTTTAACATTGGGGGAGTTAAGTACCATCTTAACAGGACTTTAAACTATTTTTGTCTATCATGCCTAAGCTACCAGTTGGTAGGGTGTGGATTTCAATAAAAATAATTTTAAAATTTTAAAATTATTACTGTTATTGCAATTATCATTCTTCCAAATGCTGTGAGATGAAGCAGTTTTGGTGGCACACATACTAATTTACATTGATTGACCATGTGTCATATGGTACAAGACAACATTTGATAGAGGGGTGCTTTTTAGAAAGACATTGCCTTGGGTTTATTTGGTTTTTCCTTTCACCTTTATCTTCATGGACATAACATGAAAATAAATGAAATAAAGACACATGAAGAGCAAAGCAAATTAATTTAAGGTGGCAAACTGCTCCAAATAAAGCCTGCACATTTATTGAAAGGATTGCATTTGTAAGGTTTCATTACAGATTGCAGTGGTGATGTTCCCTTAGATCCAATTTGGTGGCTGTTTATAAAAAAGGATACTCATTTCCTCTTTCATCAAAATGGCTTGTATAGCTTTATTTCAGTGGTATCCTCAATTTTGTCAGTGTTTAATGAGTTCTGTAGTACTCTATGATACTATTTTTCTTTCTTTACATATTATTTCCTATGCTTGAGCCAAGTGCTAAGACACTTAGCCACTGCAATAATTTGACTTTGTGCACGTATGCTAACTAGAGAATGATGGAATCCAGCATATAGGGCATTTGAAGATTAAATCCTTAAGCAAGTAGTGACAAACTCCTTGTCCTTGAAGCTTAAATAAATAACTTTCCGGTGTTTTTTTAACCTGTTTCCCCCTCTCCCCAGCCACCCCAGCAGTGAGGTATGTCATTCGACTGGTTCACATCCATCTCCTTTTATTGATGTCCACTTTGGTATCTGTACAGGCCATCAATTTTGCTGCCTCTCTGACAGCCACTGGGAATGTATGAGTGGAGTTACTGGACTCGGTGTGCAGGGGAGGGAGAGTCAGCTTTCTCTAGGCCTAACAGTTCCAATCAGACATTGGTACTAAGTCTCATAAATCTTGTGGGTGACCCAGGCGAACTCTGAGGCTCAGAGCTCACTGAAAACTGATCAGGCCTCTGCTTAGTTTTACAGGCCCTTTGCAATGACAAGTGAAGGGTTCAACAAATGCACAAAACAGATATATATTAGTTGAAAAAATTAATGGCTTTTAAAAGAATGTTTGACAATTGTTTAAGGCTGTCCATAGATCCATTATACTGATAAACGACCAACTTGGTTTATGCCAGAAGGAAAGCAACCTGTTTGATTTTCCCCTCCCCTTTACATTTATTTTAAGGGGAAAGGTGGAGGGAGGGAGAAAAACATAACATAGGCTGTAGCTGTTGCTTGCTTCATGAGATCCACATGTTCTCCAGTGAGCAGAAAGACTAGAGAAAGCCGGAAAGCGTACCTGTATTGCATAGATTTAACCTTACAATCAAATTGAAATTAAAATGGCTCTGTAACTGCCCTCAGTGACCTGCTATTGACCATTTGAACTTCTAAGTTAGGGTCAGTTGGGGCCCAGAATAGGAGGTCAAAAGCTGGTCAGTGCTCTTCAGCGCTAGCATTTTGAATGGGGAAGATTTTATTGCCGTGATTTATACAATTTGCTCAGACAGGTTAAGGAGACCTTAAAACATGCCATGGCGCTGGCTGGGTACACCATCCGCTTAGAAAATAAATTCTGATTGTCCAGCCGAAATCTCTTGTGGCTACGCCTTTAAGTATTTTACCCTCTGTGTTCTAAAGATTCATTCCCACACTCGACCCCTGAACGTGACAAGGTTAGTGTTTCCAGATTTATTTTAACAATACATACCCACCAAATGAAGCACTTTACCAACCTGATTAATTGCAAATGCAGAATAATAACCACCATGTAATGAATTATTTTGGGGACACGGCCAAACTCATATAGATGTTAAGCTCTTAAATCACTCACTGAAGCTCTTTGAACAAAATGAAAATCAATATTTTTACCCAATTCACAAAGATCCAAGGTCTGGGATTTCCACCCTCCCCCCATCATACACTATTTACTACTATAATATTATCACTGATAATCAATTATCTGCAGAGATCAGGACTATTGAAATGTATGAGAAAGTTTCCTTTTGACCTCTTCGTGAATGGAATTTGGAATAAAAGCATTTAGTCTAATCAAATACAGGTAGGGGAGAATTATGCAACCTTCCTCAGACAATGGGTTTTCAGTCTGTCTGCAGCATCACATGCCATTCTAGTGCTAGGTCTCTGCACATAACAATTAGCAGACTGTGCTTTTGAGGCTTTCGTTCATATAAACCTGACACGAGGGCCTGATTCTCACAAATATCTTAAACCTATGAATGGACTGTACCACTAGACCCTCTATAGGTAAGCGTAGGGCAGGCTTCCTCAACCTTGGGCCTCCAGATGTTTTTTGCCTACAACTCCCATGATCCCTAGCTAGCAGGACCAGTGGTCAGGGATGATGGGAACTGTAGTCTCAAAACATCTGAAGGGCCGAGAGCGAGGAATCCTGGCGTAGGGGCTCCCATGATTGCGTGCTCCCCCAATGTATTCCTGCATTTATAAAATTACCATGCTATCAAAGTAATCCAAATATATACCTTTTAATCTAATTTTAGAACAGAGGCTTAACAAAACCCCAAACTTTATTTCCTTTGTGGGGCTCCTCCCCTTGAATCCTTCTGCAAAATGGTGACATATCTAATCATTTTCATGGAGTGGGTATGCCTATCAGCCCATGTCACAGATCTTTTCAGTATGTGGCAATGCTCCCTTCACGGAGAAGGCAATGGTCCAATTCTGCTTGTTGAAATCTAGATCCATATGTATAGGATGTTTGTGTGTGTGTTTGTGTAGATATGAGAATCCACCTGCACTGTGAAGTGGTGTGTCCCAGACTCAGGCTTACCTCTTGAGTGATAAGGAGGCCCATTGACAAAGTTAATTGTCAATGCAGGTCAGGTGAGTTGCAAACAGTAGTGCAGTTAAAGCCACAGGTGCTGATCCAGCTATGATTAACCTTGACTAAGTGCCATTGAAATGACTGGAACAACTAATGACACAAGTTAGTCTCAAATCAAGACTCTTAAGTCAAGGCTGACAACTAACTATGCAATTAGTCATAATTAGGGATGGAGCAGAAATTCTGTTCAGCTTACATTTAAAGTGGAATTTACCAAAATACAGTAATACTTTCTGAAACAATATGAAAACTGAAACACAGCCAGCCTTTGAAATTTGCACTTATCCAAATTTTGTGATGCAGTTCTCTAACCAACCAGTTTAAAAAAATTGCATATATTTCGTAAAACTGCATAAAAGTGAATATATAAGTAAAAATAACATACAAAAAAACTATATATTTTGGAAAGTGGTTTGTTTGTTTCATTGTATTATTTACATTTAAATTAATATGTATTATTTATTTTGCCTGTAGGGAAATTAGTAAAACAAAATGTCTCAATGCACTACCAATGTTGCTACTTCATCAGTGCTGGAGTGTATTGCCCTTTGAGCAATAAGAAATAGATGAAGGTTGTTAAAGAGTGGTCAAGGACATGAAGAGTATCCTTATTTTAAGCCATCCCCAAGGTCCCCTAAACCCAAGTCTAGTTTTCTAACCAATAGACTGTGCTGGTTCTCTACATTACACCTTGTTTCGAAGGGTGCTTTCAAGGTGCTGTTATTTTGGTTCGGGATTAAGTAACATACCCATAAATGCAGGTTGCACACAAAAAAACCAGGCTTCTTGTGGTAAGGAAAGTGATGAGAAAATGCACCGTAAAGTGTGGGATAACAATTGTTTGAGGCAATATAATCTGACCTCCCCACAAGGAAATATGAAGAAATGCTTAATAAATTGCTGGTGTCCTATAACCTTCCCATAAGCATTGTACAAACAAGTCAGGATGAATACTCAGTAAACAGGTCATCTGAAAACAGCCTTAGATCTTACTTAGAAACTAACTACAATAATCTGTATAGGACTGGTGCCACAGGGTTCATTAAGAAGAGAGGGGTCTTCATGGATTTGTATCTGTATCAGATATGTTTCTAATTTTTAAGAAACTGGCTTGATTGCCTCATAAATTGTTATTTTATAACTTTTAACATATTTTCATTATATTAACATCAGGACCAACTTCGACATCTGCTGATGACTGGAGAGTGGAGGATGTTATTATAACTAACACCACAATGGTCAGACATAAAGCCCATGTTCACAAATAAAGGAGCAGCTTTGAAGAGTTCTGCCAGTTGTAGGTGTCAGATTCACATCTCACTGTTCTTACAACATGGAAACTCCTTCCTTCAGCCAATTTTCTCCCTGCTTTTTTGGTACTTCTGTTCTCCACGCTTATCTTAAAGAGCTTAATGAGGAAAGTAGGGGGGAAGGAGCAGCAGAAATCAGTACAGTATCCTATTGGCCCTATGATGCAAAACAAAAGAGAGTCATTTAATATAGTCTAACTTTTTATCCCTTATCAAAATACTTTGCAATAGACACATCAATCTTCATTACTTTCTCTAATAAACTGAGGAATATTCATTATGCTTTGTTCTTTTCCATTAATATTACCTTTAATATTTAATTAGCCGTCCAAGATCTACAGTGTAACTTAGAGAGACTAATGAAGAACACGGAGCAACCTTAAAACTCTGGCAATGTGGAACATATACTTTAATAGCTTGTATAGAATAAGGCTTTAAATAATCAGATTTGCAGCCAAGCTTTGCATTTTAATGTGAAAATGGGTTTTATCCCTGTGTTATCTTCTTGGGATATATGGGAGGCACAGACAAAGCATTGAATTTTGGCTTCATGAGCTGCAGTGAAAGTCTTCCCAGAGACTTCGGATCTAATACCCTTGGTAATTTCAGTTGTAGTAGATAATACAGTATTTTCTGTCATAAAATCATCTGAAGTAAACAATTTGGCTTTCTTTTGTAAAACTTAGAGTTAATGGATGCCGCTCAATGCAAATTGCATGTACTGGATTACAGCCAATCTTATCATTAAATTGGGTTAAAAACAGAAGTGGAAAAATAAGAACACGTGGGAAAGCTGTCCTTAAAAGGTCACATTCAAGGTTTTGAACTGGATGAGATGAGGATGAGCATTCAGAGCTTTTGCTTTGCAACACGTATCAAATGCAGAAGGCAGAAATGAATATTAATCCTCATTGATTTTAGACTTTAAAAAGTGGAAGATTGTATTTTTGAATGCTTTCCAAGTAAATTCATATCCCTTCACATAAAAAAACCTAAGGCATAATGGAAAAGAGCTAGGTCAGAAACTTTTCCCATGATCTAGTTTTCTACTTACAAGGAGCTTTCCACGTGGGGATGTGACATTAGAAAGCCAGCAGCAATTTGACATGGTAACAGACCATAATTTTGCTAAATATGTGCAGCCTCAATATTACGTCACATAGTTAGGAGGAAATATTTTACAGGAAATCTAGGGAGACTAGTATTAAAAGTCAAGGCTTTCCTTCCTTTGCAAGTGTAATTCAAAATACGGCACAGAGTTGTGCTGTTCCCCAAAAATTATTCTGCATTTTGTTTTGACCGTTTCCCATTAATCATTGCAAAAAGAAATTGCATTTGATAATTATCATCCCAGAGAGAAAAATTAAACAACTTTATCATGGATGGGGTACACACTTTTAGTGGTTGCCTTTTAAAAAAATAAAATCTAGCTGATGGTTTTTGTGAGTGTTCTTTCTTTTATTCTAGTGCTTATAATATAATATTTGCATTAAGATATTCTCTAATACAAAAATGTAAAGATAATAATAACCCCTGTTTTTATAACAGAAGGCAGTCTCTAGGGAAGTGCTGTTGTTTCAGATGTCAACTGAAAAAGAGAGAAAACATGTAAACTTGAGAGAAACCACACCTAATTTCATTCAGTAAGGCTAAACTTTGTCTCAATAAGTGTCATATTGTACGATCACTGAGTGGATAGTGTCATTATATAGTTTAATCACTAGGTGGCAGTGGACATGTATCTGGGTAACACCAAGAGTTTCCTGTTGCTGTTCTGCCTTGTTTAAGAGCAACAAATCAGGCCCTCCCTTAAAGATTGCGTTGAGAACTGGACAACCAACACCCTGTGTTGTAGGTGGGTACAATTGGTTAGCCACAACACCTGATTGGTAGGTTCCTCGAAGCTGGGTACAATCTGGCCAATGGGACACAGTCTAAATGGTTCGAGGGACCTATTTATGCCCATGCACGTGACCCAGAGCTTCCTCTTTCGGCGCATGCATTCGGAACACCCGCCCACCTCTCCCTACTTTTAGGGCTTGTTGTGCTTGACCTTGCATTGCTTCGCTGGGACAGGGGCATGGCAGGAATTTCCCCCACTTGGCTGATTGGCTGTTGCTATTTGGGTTTCGCCTGCCGCATAGCAAATTGTCACAACTTGTAAGGTTGTGGATAGACTCACGTTCAGGTGATAGGGATGGGAGAACGCTCTCGCCATCCCTATGTGAAGGGTATTCGGTTAAAGGAATCCAGGGACTCGATGGTTTGGTCAACCCCTGAGAGGGGGTTGTGCCCATGCTTGAGTCCAGGGGGACATTTGGGTGGCAGAGTTAGCCCATGCCCAGCTTTCCGCTTATTCAGGTGTTCACCCTTGGCTGACCTATGCTGGTGCCCTGGGTCAGCGCTACCTGCATGGCAGGGAGCTAGTCGAACCAGAGCCTATGCAACCAGTCACTTTCTGTAATCAATAAAGTTGTGGCCTAAATTCTGCCAAAAACCAAACCAAAATTTGAGTCATGTGTGAATTTATTTAGGGGGGAGGTTTCTCGTTCTGAACACGCAATAAAGTTCTCGTCTAGCTAGCTTCCTGACTGTTGAGTCCTCTAAGCCTTCCATGGCACGTAGAGAAGATATATTTACCAGATGAACATGGAGGAGTGAACTGATTTAACCCATTAAACAGAACTATGGGAAAAAGATTTAATCCCATTATACAGAAACTGCAGAGTGAATTTTACCTTGGGGAAATGTGCTTCTGCTCATTTTCAGTAACTCTATAGTCCATTTTAGCTGGTAAGCTCGAAAATTAACAGCACATTAATGGGACCGCTGCCTACACTTGTAGCACTGTCTGTTTAGGATTAGACCATTAAAAATTGAAGGAGATAATTGTCCCTGCACTGGAACAGGAGAGGTGTACAGCGAAAGTACTTTAGTCAGCACTTGTCTTTACGCTTAGTAAACAGAGAGCTGGATTTGAAAGCAATGAACATTTAGTATTATCATACTACACATATTTCAAAGCTCCATTGATCAGAAAGTTGTTTGTAAAGATGTTGTAGACGAGTTAATGCCGAATGATTCATAAATCAAATGATTTCCAGACTGCGCAATAATCACATGAAAATAATTCAATAGTATATTTTATTTTAAATGCTCTTACTTTTTTTGGAAAAAAGAGCGAGAGGCTTCCTGTTTGTTTTAAACATTTAGGCTGCAATCCGCTGCATACTTACCTGGGAGCAAGTCTCACTGAACTTACTTCTGATGCACAGGATTGGGCTGCACATTTAATTGTTGATTTGCTAGATGAAGCAAATTTCATTAAGTCTGTATGGAAATGTACAATTGAACAAGGGAAGATTTTAAAATTCCTATGCATTCCCATCTTTCCTCCTCCTTCTTCTTAATAATTGCTACATAAGATTACTGTCACTCCTTCTGTGGCACCTGTTTCTCTCCAGGGTCATTCGTATGCTGCATATTCTCCAGTGAAGTTACACCCAGTAACTGCAGTGCTATCCCTATGGATCGAAGGAGTAACATCACATCCTCGAAGCATTTGTACTGTCATTTATCATAGGATCCCCAAGGATGCTTTGAATACTGAGAGATGCTCTCTTGCTGAGTGGCAGCCTGATCCGAAGTATATTTAGTTGCAAGTCCCACTGAGTTCATTGGGAACTTATTTCCTAATAAGTATGCTGAGGATTGCAGACTGAATCAGGTTTAATACTTTCCCCCCCACTGGGGACCTATGAAGCCTGCAGAACTAGAGGCATTTCCTAATTTTAATTACTGTTATACATTTTATATTTCTGTAAGCTATCTTGAAGGTCCAGTTTGATAAAAGGGGGAGTTACTAGAATATTTTGGGGTTTCCCCTCCATTAATTAATCATCAGTACAGCAAGATTTGCAAATTCGCTTATGAAACTGTAACAATACGAGACTTGTATAAATCTGTACCCATCTAATTCAGTTTTTGTAGTTAGACCAGGGACCCCAAATGCCCAAATATTTTTAGCAGGTGTTGTTCATATAATCCATAGTTCAGAATGTACATGTTATATATTCAGTGTGTGCCAGTATAATACATATCAAGGGGACATTGTCTAGCCAAAGTTCATTCATTGAAGTGGAAGAGATATGCTTACCTTCACCATTGACAATGGGGCTGAAAAATGCTGAACTTCAGCCTTAAGACTGATGCATTGCACTTATAAACACATTTGTTTGAGACAAGTGAATCCCTCTGACAGCTCCTGATGGGCTGATCTCACTCTATGTGAGATGCACATCAGGAAGCTAATTTCTTTAGGCCAGGGTACTCCCAATTGTGTCTCTAGCTGTCTTTGGACTACAGTTCCCATCATGCCTTAGCACTGGTCCTGTTAGCTAGAATTAATGATGGGAGTTGTAGTCCAACAACAGGTGGAGACCTAAGTTTGGGAAGCCCTGCTCTAGGTCATTGCAGGACTCACCAAGATGGCACCCACAGGTCCACATGTGCCTGCTGAAGCCTTCCCTGTGGCCACAGGGTCCCCTCCGCCTCCCACTGAAATTATTATTGAAGGAAGCATTCTGTTGTAGCCTGTAGAATATGTTGCAGCTTGCTCTTGGTAGTTGTGTGTGCATGTGGTGCCTCAACAGTATCTCCAATGCAAACCTGCCCACAGCCCTCAAAAGGTTGGTAACCATTATTGTGTGAAGCTAGGGATGCCAACTCATTGGGGGAAGACAACCAAATACTAGTTGCTATCAACCACAGAAGGGGAGGGCGCTCTTGTGCTCACATCCTGCTTGTGTGCTTCCCAGAGGCCTCTGGTTGGCCATGGTGAAAACAAGATGCTGGACTAGAAAGGCCACTGGCTTGATCCAGCAGGCTGTTCTGAAGTCACCTTGAGAGCATGTGAAACCTTAGCTGCTGGAGAAGAGTGGCGATAGGCAGCACTCCCAGCACTTGACCAGTTTGCTCCCAGCACCCTCCCTCTCTCCCTTCCCAAGTTGGGCCTGTTTGGTGCATGCTTGCATACTGGGCAGAAGTACACAGACCTGGCTATGGAGCTACACCCAAGAATCAAAGGTGGAGGAGCCTGACTGCCTCATTTGGCACACCTCAGCTGTAGCAAAAGTGTAGTCATGTAGGCTACCTGGCTCATGCTGGTCACTCACTGTTGTTATTCCAGTTCTGCTGTTTCCAGCTCCGCTCTGTCCAGCCAGCATTGCTGTCATGCAGCAGCGGAGCTAGCCGCTCAGGCACCTGGAGCGGTACACATGCTGTGCACCTGGTGATCATCGTGGCGGCGATCCACCCGGGGTGCGATTGGTGCGTCAGCGATCCGCCCAGGGGGATTCTGTCACCCCCCCCTCTGGGATGACACCCTGGGCGGACCGCCCCCACTGCCCCTCCTTCCCACGCCCCTGCTGTCATGGACAGGCTGTACGGTTAGCTTCACTGACACTGGTGGGTTTTTTTTAGTACTGACCTACTCCTGTGGCTCCTGACACTAGCTGAGGTGAGATCATTGACTCCAGGCTGGCCCAGTGGCTGCTAGGTCTCCACCCTTTGTCACTAGGCTCCATGCCAGGTGCTCTATAACCAGCCACAGGTGCCTCAA